ACTATGGACCGTCTGAACTAACTAGTTTTAAAGAAGTTAGTCAGATAGCAGTAACTAGAAGATGCAGAAAGAACATTTTGAAGGAATTTGAAATATATATATTTATTGCAAAGGTGTTACTGTTGAACTTTTTTGTTAAATAAGAAGGAAACTAACCCTCCATTATAGCGATACAAAATGTATTATCTTAGTATTTTAGAAAAATACCAGTAATGATAGTTCTGGGTTGTACAAAAACCTTAAGTAAATGCAATTTGATATTTGATTTGTTACTTAGAATACAATTAATTGACTTAACCTTATGTATTGAATATCTTAGACCAAGGTTTACTTAACTTTGTTGTCTGGTACGGATAATAATTAGTGTCAAGAATATAAGGGTTACGACTATTATAAGCGCTATTATCGCACACGTTTCTCCTATTACAAACCACTTTGGAGCCCGAATGAGCGCCAGGTTAATTGCTTGGTCTGCTTTGCAACTATTATGGCATCATAATTAGACACAAATGTGGCTGGGGTTCGGCATCTCGAACGAACCCCATTTGTCAACCTGTCAGCGTCGCGAACTTTGGTGTTTGCCCTGGGTCATTGATCTTTCCGGAGGAACCTCCGCCGAAGTATTCCAATCACTTGGCACCCCATCAAAGTCGGATGATTTGCTAGTCTCTGTTTAACTTTGACAAATACTGGACTTGTTTGGTCCGACGGTGTGACCTCACAACACATGATAACTAACCTAAGTTGTTCTGTGAAGCCAACTCCATATTTGCCTAGAAATATGTATAAACAACTAGCAGGGAGGAAAAACTGAGATGCAAAAACCAAACAAGATGACAAATTGCGCACCACTGCTTCGCCTCGCTATTTTAATGCATTCAGGCAAAAACAAGTGAAGTAAAGTAGAAAATAACAAGTGCTGATAAGTTGATTTTAGCATGGAGAGCAAAAAGTTGGAAAAAAATGGGGGAAGTAAAGCGAAGCGATATGCAAAGCCAGAAAAATAAAATGAAACAGCTCCGGTTATAATTAGGTTATCGGTGTTTTATATTTCCTTGGGGAATTAGATACGTTCTTGTCCGGCACTCACTTATGCATATAAGTTTGTTTAAAGTTTGAACTTTAAAGTTTTAAACAGTTCTCTTGGGAATTAGCTTCACATACCGACGTCTGGGAAATTTATTGGTCATAAACAGAGAAAATGCTAGTTTGCACGTATTACCAGTTCTGTTAAATTTTCTTTAGGGCGAAGCAATACAGTTTGTTTTTATGGGTACACATATATGAATCCTAATAAGGGAGTACTAAATTCAACGGGTGATTGAAATGTTTTGTTTACTAATAAGGTTCCAGCTTTTCAGGGGGGTTTCTTAACAGTATTGCTAATTTGTCGTAAGGCTTTGATCGTTGCTATAAAGTAGATTGTTATGAACGTTCGTATGCTGAATTACCCCGACTATTCGCACCTTTCCCAGCCAGGCCTCTCACACACCTCAATTACCAAAACCCCCACCCCACTGAACCCAAGAATTCCTAGCCAGCATACCTATTTTTGCATACCCACTACCTTTTTGCCATGTCTGCTGTTCTTCGTTTTAGCCCCTTTGTTTTGCTGGCTCTTTCGCGGCTATCAGGTCTCAATACTTGTTTGCCCGGTAAGCTCTTTTCCGCTGGTTCCTCTTCCCTGTTGCCTTTGGCTTCTTTTTGTTTTGGGGCCGGTTCTTTGGATTCGACTGTCTGCCATATACTTTTAACTTTTTGGCCCGAGAAACCAGTTGATGCATAACCGTTGCGGAACATGTTCGCTGCCGTTCCTCAAGCCAAAGTACGTGTCCTCTATAAGTCTACAGCTTTTAAATGGTTCAAATGGTTTAATTAACTAAGTGACCGTACATGGGCTAACATTAGGTTAGCATGATGGAAGTAAATAGTTAAAATAAAGTGACAGGCATTAATATATTTTTAGATTCTTCAACACTAATAAAGCTACGTATGTACTTCTCAAGTGCGAAATTTTTAGCTACCTGCTCTTTACGTTGACGTTTCTTAAAATGGCTAAAATAATTCGTTCATACCATGCCAAAATGCAATGACAAGACTTTTAAAGACCATCGTCCTAAGACAAGGACAGTCTAATATCATAATTTCACAAGAAGCGATGGCCCCGTCAGATTCTTTGGAAATCAATTCCAAAGCCGCTGCCAGTCAATTATAATGAACTCTAAAATATTAAAATCAGATAGCTGGTAATAGGGTGTGCTATCTTATCTGCATCGGAGAGAAAACGAAAACAAATTGCAAATCTTGCAGTGCAAATATTTCTGGTCAACTGAAATTCAAGCTTTGTGTCGTGACTGAATTACAGGGGTAAACTCCCTTGGGAAGTATTTCTTCCCTGTGCGATTGTTCTTACGACTCGACAAAACAAGAGGTCGTAAACATAAATTACTTGTATATGGCGACTATATAGATCTTATCCCAAGCGCTACCGATCTTGAGATGCAGGCAAAGTGGTCTGCAGTGATTTCTGACAAACATCGTAAAGATAACTAGCCTCTAGTTGTTTAATTTATGCTAGCTGAGCTATGCTAACGCACTTATCAAGCCTATGTCGGTTAGGCTATCACAGTCCCCCCAGCAACAAAGTGACACAAATTGTAGTAGTAGTAACAAATCTTACCATTAGTAAACAACCAATTATAAAAACCTGATCGTAAAGTAAGTTCTAATGAAACTTATGACCTATAAATAAAAGTATAGATCTGCATTTGATATGAAGACAAGGGTTTCACAAGATTTATACAGCTATTATTGATTTACTTTAAATAGAATTCCGAGATAGTGGGTTCTCCCCGAATTAGTTTTGGTAGATCCCAATTTATTTATATACTTGCCAACTTTTCAGAAAACCAGATAGAAACTGTAATGTTGCTTTTGAGAGTTTGAAATGAGAGAACTCGACGTTACCGTCCATTATTTTGAATACATTTTATTTAATTCCCCTGTGCCCGGTCTCCAAAGCCAGAAACTGGATATGAGCCCTCTCTCCGCCGATATAATATATGCGACTCTCTTTTTTGCCGAGCAAACCCACGACTTGAGCTGAGTTAATTTGAGCGAACGGCAAATAAATATATTTCGCTGGCGGCCAATAAAAACGGTTGGCCTGAACCCGTTGGCAGTTGGCTTTTAAACGCGCTGCGCCAAAGTCGGTCAAGTCGGTAGAGTCGGCGGATTAATCGCCGCAGCATCTCGGCCACACAAACCCAGCCGCATTTTCCTGCAGGGCAACGGACGATAAAGGTTCTGATTCGATCAACTGTGCCGAGCACGTGCCCAAGTGGCGTATACTTGATATTGCGCATACGCCACCGGTGTCGCCGTCCGCGTAGAGAGTCTGTGATCCCAAGAAGTCGGGCTAGTTGACTGAAAGTGACAAAAACTACATGAAGATGTGCGAATTGATTGTCAGCCACGGACTCGACCGCGAGGTAAAAACATCATTAGTGCGGGCACGACCACATGACTCATGTGATTTCCCAGCTGTTCAATATGGTTTTCATTAATTTCAAAAGGTTTATTTGGTTGTTAACGCTACGCTCAACAGTTAAGCGCAACTCGGGCTGAGCTGAGCTCGTGTTTTGAAGTGCTCGGCAAATATATTAAAACCTATATGCGATATACATATGTGCCAGCCAGACTGTCATTGACGTTTGACTTTGGCTCGCTCCGATCTGCGATTCAAAACTGACCCTCGTTGAAGTGCGTTAAATTCGCATTATATTTATTTCTGTGTCTGTGAAATTGCGTTCTGTTGTTTAATTGTGGTGGCCCCTGAAATCGCAGTCACGCCTCACTTACCGGACTCTTTTGTTCCCATTGGGCTGTCGCAAAATGGCACAAACACGTATGAAATTGGCGATGTCTGGCTGTCGAAATGAGTTTCCGATCTGTTTCGCTGACCCAAATTGGCCCGCTCAAAACACACACTCCCATTCAGATCTCGACGACCTTCCAGGCAGCTCGGCTTTCGGCGACTATCTGACTTTATCGCAGATCTTATATCGGACTAATTGCAGGCGAGGTCGTCCATCTAGTTGAGATTGCTCGGGGAGTTCCTTCTTAATTGGTTGGAACTCTAGTGTATCGACACTCCACGCCACTTGGGGGTTCTTCAACTCGAGTGTATGGCCGAAAGCTAATCAATCACCCGGCGAGATCGAGATTTAATCACCCCCTACTGCGACTCTAGCTGCATATTTTCAAAATTACTTTCGTGATGTAAGCAGCGTAGTATTTTGCGAGTGGTTTTGTTTTGGGGCCTTATCAAGACTTGCTAATGGTTGAATCACGGCCATCAAAGGAGAGTCGGTCGAGAGGTTGCCTTGGATTTTGAGATGATTTCGGATATGTGAATGATCTCACGTCTGAATAGAGCGCAGGTGTGGTTGGTAATTGAGGTGCGGGTGCTGTCTGCAAACTGCTTCCTTCTCGGGCAAATGTGTGCAAAACCTACGAAAGCACCTGAATTAAGAGAGTTTGTTTTGGTAATTCATACTCGAACACGGCGCAGACAATTAGCACAATCATTGACGTCCCCAGAATTCAGCGAAATGTTCACACGCTGTCAATGTCGACATTGTCACACCCAACGACAATACTGAAAACAATGTTTAGTAGGCAAAAACAATGTCCAAAAAATTAGTCAGAGCGCCGCACCGAATTTCACATGAAGGTGTAGCTTTGGTGCTATCAATAGATGGTAACATAAACAGCTTTGACCGATCAGAAACTGAGATTTCTTCAGATTAGATTGTGCCTAAATTGAACTCGGTTGACTCAAACACCCAGTATTTGGAGTGATCATGTTCAGTTCCTCGAAGAAACCTCAGTTTAACGGTTGTCCGTCATGCGATTGCACGAAAAGTTGGTAAAGTTCCACCTTCATCACAAAAGATGTCCTCAGCGAAGTTTTTCGGTAAGATTTGGATGATCTAGATGGTTCTATCGCGATGTTATCAATAGTAGTTCTCCTCCCATACACTTTTTTTATTCTCTGCATTAATTTTCTGATAATTCTAATAGTTGGGTGTAACATATTACGATTTGGATGATCTAGATGGTTCTATTGCGTTGTTTTCAACATAAGTTCTGCCATACATTTTATTGTATTCTCTGTGGAATTATTCTGATAATTCTAAAAGTTGTGTGTTATATATGCCTACTCTACAGAAATATTTTGACAATTCTGTTAGTTGTGGGTTATACATGCCAAATAGGTCTTTAAAATGGTCAGGAAAGCAGGAGGCTTTGCCTTTGCCTTCATCGGTTTTCATCCGGCGGGCCGTTGATCAGTTTCATTTCGTTCCCAGTTATTGTTTTATTTCGTTCCTTAGGAGTACAGAGCTCCCCAAAGTAAAATTTCGTATTTTTCTACCCGAACCGGGTTTCATTCCGTGTTTTGTCGTTCGCTTTTTTTCGTTGGTCGGTAGCCCGTATTCGTGAAGAGAGTTCCATCCGTAGACCGTGGGGAAGCGTCCTTCGTCTTTGGAGGTTTTGCTAAAATTGTCCGTGAATAGGTAGCCAGAATGAGTAGCCACCAGTGCAGCCTGGGCAAGCTGGCCCAGAGGGGCGCCAGCCTGCGGATCTCTCCGCTGACCACCACGATGCGCAGCTTCTACCACACCCGCAGCCGGCCGTTCGTGGTCCAGAGCATGGTCCAGCTGAACCAGTGGTCCAAGCCCGCCCAGCCACAGCCCGACAACTTCGAGCGCAGCGGGGTGCGCAAGATCGTGGGGGTCAAGAAGACGCTGGTCAACCAGATGCAGGGCATGGCCCCCAGCCTGGGGCCCTCAAAGGTGGCGCCCTACAAGATTTACGGCAAGTCGCGGCTCTTCTCCTCCTCGAGCAACCTGCACGGTCGCTCGCAGCACCAGGAGCAGGAGGAGGACGAGGAAGAGTACTCGGACCAGGAGGAGCTGCCGCCCCACTCCAAGGCCTCGTTGTCGGCCACGCAGCGGCGCTACAACCAGGCTTCGGGATTCGGCAAGGGCATGGCCTCGCAGGCGGCCAGGGACATCAGCCAGTCCATCCAGGAGGAGCTGATGGTGGTGGACGCCGAGACGCGTGACATGCTTAACTGCGATCCGGGTCGCCAGGCGGTGCGCGACTACCGCGAGCAGATGACCCAGAGGCCGAGAAATCTCCCCGCTGACCCCATGCAGGGCTGGAAGCATCCGCGGCCCCTCAAGTACCTCTCCAATCTGTCCGCCAGCGGCGCAGGCGAGAGCAGCAGCACCAGCAGTGGGTCGGGGGCCCAGCCCGAGGGGCAGGAGGATCGCCAGATGAGGCCACGTCGCCGCCAGATGGTCGTGGGTCACACCATCCGCAACCGCGAGGCTACCACGAAGGCTCCACCTCCGCTGACGCAGTTCAGCTCCGGACCAAGGTTCGAGATGTACACCTCTAATGCTAAGGAGAAGATGTCGGAGCAGCGCAGCGAGCTGCGTCCGCAGACCAGTTGGCACCGCCCCAAGGCAGCCGTCGAGGACAAGCCGGAGGATCTGCTGATGGACGTTTCCCTGGTCCGGCCGGTGCGTCCGGATATCACGGTGGCCAGGGGCCTTCCGAAGTCCGAGGAGAACGCCGCCGAACCTGAATCGTGGTACGAGCAGCCCAAGGCGGAACGCGATTTCCTCAAGCAGGCCTTCCTCGGCGGGTCCAGGAGTCGCCGCAAGGCGGGGCAGCCGCGTTTGGATGAGCTCCACTACGACGGGGCCGACAATTCGGCCCAGATAAGCGCCTCACAGCAGGTGATCAACCAGAAGTACGCCGGCTACCGCAGGTCGGCGAGGGGGAATCAGAAGCACATGGTCCGCCAGATCGTGGAGCAGGTGAATCCGACGCCGCAGCTCAACATGCGTCCGCGAGCCATGTCGGAGCCCCGGGACACGCGCAGGAGGTGTGGCATCGCCAGGCAGGGCGTCGAGCGACAGGCCGCGCCCCGTTTCTTCGGCGGATATGGCCAGGCAGCTGCCGGAGAGCGGCAGGAGAATGAAGACGAGGACGACGCCAGGGAGGAGCCGAGTGCCTCTAGGTCCAACTGGCCGTCGCCCAATCACTCGCTGCTTCAGATGTCCTCGCGGAGTGACTCTCGCCTGGAAACGAACAGCAAGGCGCGCGGCAGGAGTGTTTTGGGCGAGAAGCGGGGGCCCAAGAAGCCGGTGGCCACAGAAGCCCCCGTGGAGCACGACATCGGAATGCCAACTGGATACAGAAAGGAGTCGGCCGTGCAGCGCCTGGGAAGCGCTTCCGCCAAGCACAACAGCCGTGCCCTCAACAGCTACTAGTCCCGAGTCCCGAACCTCAAACCGCAACCTAAATAGAGCCACGACCACCTCCCTGAACGTCCAATCCAATCCCAATCCGCGTCCACACTTCTCCCAGCCCGACAATAGTTGTACTAGCCAGACGAAAATTTGCGCATCGAGATGTCAAAATCCTTAGAAGTCAAACAAATTGAGGCGTGACAATCTCTTTGGCCAATGTGTAGTAATTTCATCGTAGAACCAAGTAACTTCAATAAAATCGATTACAGTTGTGTAAATTGACAGGAGCGAATACATTTTCAGGGATTTTTACAATCGTATCGTAACCGTGATTTTAAAACGGGGAAAGGGTTTAACACCCATTTGTTTTATCCTGTCTTGAAGGTTCACTCGGGGAAATAGTTCTTGAAAGATTGGCAAATCTATTGTTTTTCACCAAGCATATCTCAGCATTGTAAAATAAACATCGTTGCGCCGTCTAAGTGTGTTTTTCTTTCACTTTCGTTCACTCAGCTAGTGCCGATGCCAATCGAGCTCTTTTAATTTGTAGTTAATTTGAAACAATGACAAGAGACATCCACAAAGCAGACACACTAAACTAGCACTGCACTCCAAATGATATACTGTTAAATGAAAACCCAACAGCCCATGCAAAGCACTGAACTCAAAGCTAAACCCAAGAAACCCCAAAACCCAAATAAAACAGCAGAACCTATTTAAAGTATCTTTTGGATATGTCGTTTAGTTTGATTTAAAATTGATATTCACATTTTTGACTTATCGATTAGATTATGTTTAGTAGTTGTGCATTGTGTTATTGCAAATTGTGCTAATATCTGCCTTCTCCCACCAATCGTTATCCAGGTGCTGTCAATGAGCACAGATGAATATCGCAAGACCTCGCTCTTTGCCACCGGTTCCTTCGACCTGGACTTCCCCATCCCAGACCTGATTGGCAAGACAGAAATCCTCACAGAGGAGCATCGGTAAGTTGTCACTGTCAGCGCACTTTGCCCGATCGAATGGAGTTCTATACCCACTTTTTCATTGAGCTGCTCTGGAGGGGAAAGCGTACGCAAAACCCTGCTGGAATCCTAACTAATGACCGTTTTCGATTTGCAGCGAGAAGCTCTGCTCACATCTGCCAGCTAGAGCCGAGGGCTACTCCTGGTCCCTGATCTTCAGCACATCACAACATGGTTTCGCACTCAACTCCCTGTACCGCAAAATGGCGCGTCTGGAGAGTCCAGTTCTAATTGTCATCGAGGATACTGAGCACAATGTGAGTTTAATACTGTTAAAATGTGCTGTACTATCTGATATGATCTGATATCAAATACATATTGAAAGTTCACTGGCCTGCTATAGTGATAAATGATACCATTTTGAATATTTCGGAATAATAAAAACATGTTATTAAATTTTGAAGTCTATAATAGTAATTAAATAGTATGTAATTATCACATTTACAAGGCTAGTGAACTCCCCACTACATACTCTATATAAAGGGCTGCGATATAATATGCAAAGTGACTGATTTGCCGCCACTTCGTGCTTTAAGCCTAATAATAAGTTTGTTTTTGAATGCTTAGTCTGAAATGCTAATTGGTCAAATTCTTCTTTAACACCTGTTTAATACGTCAATTAAAACATCTTAAATTTGAGCTAAGTGCAGTAATGATAACAGTAATTAAAAGTTGTATAAAAACTTGGCAATTAAACCAAAAGCCTGTCATGACTTTAGTCCTAAACCTACCTGCACATTGACTATGATATCATTTTTAAATAACTATTTTTGTTTGTTCCTCTAGGTATTTGGTGCTCTGACATCCTGCTCGCTGCACGTGTCGGATCACTTCTACGGCACCGGCGAGTCCCTGCTCTACAAGTTTAACCCCAGCTTCAAGGTGTTCCACTGGACTGGCGAGAATATGTACTTCATCAAGGGCAACATGGAGAGCCTTTCGATTGGCGCTGGAGAGTGAGTGCAAAATTCTGAAAATAAGTGGCAATTGCTAAAGCTTGTTTCGATTTCAGCGGTCGCTTTGGCCTGTGGCTGGATGGCGATCTGAACCAGGGACGATCGCAGCAGTGCAGCACATACGGCAACGAGCCTCTGGCGCCACAAGAAGACTTTGTTATCAAAACACTCGAATGCTGGGCATTTGTTTAAGTGAATTTCTGTTGTCAACAACAAACACATTTAAGGATGGGAGCGAGGGCCTCCTGCCTACCTATCTATTTAATTAACTATATGTACTTGTACTAAAACCAACAACCTGAGAAAGATGTCAAAAGCTGATGTGCGCCTGAGGATCCTCCCGAACGGTCCACACAGCCCCACACCCGAAAACACTTGCATACACCGACACCACAAGAGGGGAGGACACAAAACACTGACCTGATCTGAGGGGAAATGCTTGTGAAAATTTCTGTTCTCGGAAGCAACATGCGAGTTAGCTATGCGTTGGAACGTATTAATTATTTAGTTTTTATATTACATACTATTAAACAAAAGCAACTAAATTATGTGTTAGACTTAAACAAAAACAGAACATGAGAAAACCCGAAAAGGCGGACAAACGACACGGAAACTAAAGCAAAAACAATTGAAGATAACATTAGAGGTCATCACACATCTCCATGAATTATACAGCACATGCATACACCCACATACGCTTACATAAATACACATTTAACCTAAGTTCTTATTATCGAAAACTATAATCACCAAATTGTGAGAAGTAACATATAGCTAATTGCAAATACTGATCATTTATCGTGCCTATTTCTCTTGATTGATTTCAGTTTGAATTTAATTTCGATTGTTTGAGTTACCTTATTCAGAGCACTGTGAAAAAAGCGAGCTGAGAAGTTGGGAAAATAAAAAGAATGTCGATATAATTTTTAGTGCAAAAGTGCTGATTGCAAGTAAAACTAAAAGCGAAGATAACTCTTAACGATTTGACTTTTATATACATGTAAAGAAGGAGCCGAGAAGAGCTGAAAGCGAGCGTTTTATTTTTTAGTTTTACACGATATACATATATTTAATTACGATTATTTTAATGCTAATGATGTTGACTTTTATGCAATTATACTAAACAAAAACAGAAACAACACCAGAATGAAATACACAATATTATACAACCAAACTGGCCAAACAGAGGTTTTTCTTCATCCATGCCCAGAAGTTGGGTCCCCAGTCGATCGTTTGAATATGTATCGTAGGTGTGCTGCACTTTTGTAAGGGTCCCCGGCAGGCAGATTTGTTTTGTAGTTGTAAGTTTTCTCCGCAGATATCGGTCACACCCCTACATACACACATTTGCTTCCGCAGCAGAGTCAGACGGAGCTCCTGCTGGTGGAAGAGGTTTTGAGGAAATCAAACCGACAAACTTAAATGGCTTTATATCCCTTTTGAGATACAATTTCAGTATAATTATAAATGAATAAATTATATACATATATGTATACACATACGCTAATATATAAATGTACAATGGTAGCAACGTAAGTGTAATTTTTGTAGTGTATTTGCGCCCCGAAACAAGACCCAAACCAACCTTAACCCAGCTCCCAATCGATTGTATTGTAAACTCCCAAAGTAATACGGTTCGCAGCCGTGTCAGAAACATATTCTAAATATTCAAAATACACACAAGACGGTGGAAGATAATTTGAGAGAACAAACGAAACCAAATTGCTGATATTTTACACTGAACAGAGTTCGAAACTAACGAAAAAGTAAAGTATATAAAACATTTCATTTCATTGGAGTTAAAGTTTTTACCGGCTTAAAAAGATGAAAGAACTCACAAGCAACGCACACAGACAACAAAATAAAATGTGAAATTAAAAAACTATAAATTGTAAAGATAATCCCAATCCAGAGAATCCTCTTAGCATGCAACAATTTAGAGAAATTTAGCTGAAAATTTGCACGCACCCCAGCCCTGAAAAATTGAAATATACATATGAAAAATTAAGTAATGGTGAACTATGGAGACTCACGCTAGTGAAGATGTTTTTAGATGTTATTTAACGATCTTGACAGACGATTATGGATAGTATATTATCTCCCACGCAACGCATTGAACCCAAATGAGAATCAAGTTGAAATTCCTGTTGTATTGTGAAAACGGAAGACTTTCTTTTTAGGACTTTAGAGAGAATCCAAACAAACATTGGAAAGGCTTGTTTACTGAGCAAAAGTTATGATAACCAACACCCGAGAGATCGATTAGCTTAAAATCACTTCTACTATATGCGAACTTCATTTAAATAACTTGAGACCAAAATGCGTTTACTAAAAGATATACTACATACCAGGCGACAACTCCCAGTTGAGAATTTCGGTCTGCGTGGAGCATAATATCATTAAATATTGATATGTATACCGAACATTAGTTTGTTGACAACCAGTCAATTATGTCTCAACACACAACCAAACTGACACACGAGCTAAAAGCTTAATGGATTATATAAAAATCAAGAAATATTCATTTTCGTAGTCTGTGAAACCATGTTGTTGAATTCGTAGATATTTTGTTGTGCGTTGAACAGAAATGAAACGAACATGAAAACCAAAAAGAGAGCGAGGCGAAATTAATGAAGATAATTTTATATTGTAACTTCTGTCAATTAAATTGTAGACTGGTGCATAAACCAAGCGAAAACTGAATAACATATGCCGCTCATATTGTTGTTGCAGCAGAAAATTGTTTAGGCCATCAATATGAATGCATGATTATATTGAGGCCGATAGTTCTGCGCCCTTAAGATTTTGTTGTGAGTTCAATAAGTGCTTAGTATTTGTGTAATTCAGGCATGCATAAGTACCCAGATGTATATCAAGCTAAAAGCCAGTTAATTAGTGTGGAATTATCCCCAACCTAGTGCGAGTACTTTTTCCACTCAGTGTCTGCAGTCCCAGTGCTTTCCCCTATACCCATGTTGAGTAGTTTGCAAGCGTTTCTAGTTGTTGTGCACTGAAAATTAAACAAAATGTAATTCGCACAATTCGCAGATATTCAGGATATGTAGGCACTTACGCCAGCTAGATGAGCCAGATATACAATATACACCTTCTTAGAGATATAGATTCGCGATTGTAAGGGGCTGAAGAAGGACCGCCTTGGACCTGCCGCTTATTTCAGTTCCCCCCTATAGAATGCTGATTGTAGAACCGAACGATTGTATAAACTCCACTTAGAAGAGAGCACCACTCTATCCATGCCACTACTAAAGGTCCATGCCACATAGCCATGTTATATAGGGATTGGACGAGCAGGGAGGGTTTTACAAAGGATATAGACAGATCGGGAGTCAGGAAGAACAGAGGGTGCAGCAAGTGGTTTATTTTTCTACCAACAGATTGCAAGCGATTGAAACACATAGTTGATTACTCGACGAACAGCAGCCATTACCTAAGTCGTGTGTATATACGAGATATATCTACCTACATACATATATATATTTTTGGAAAGCAAATCAAGTGTATCTTGATTATATCGGCTGGCTGTATTCAGGTCGCGGCCAAGTACTAAGCATATTTGCAAACGATATTGATCAGTGTAAATGTTAAAAATAAATCGAAAGTTCGCACGTTTGCCTTGGTTGTTTGGTTCGAATAGAATGCATTCGTTGTTCTTTAGTTATTCTGAACATTATATAGATATCGGATTAATTCATGTGTGCAACTTGTATCGTACCTATAATATTGCATTCCAACAAAAGCAAGATCAATAATTCAGAAAAAGCACATGAGCAGAGTAACAAGAGAATATATATAAATATATATGCTATATGTAAATGTAAATTCATTAGAAAAATGAACAACTTTTCCGAAAAATAAAATGTATATTCAAATATCAACGAAACTTTTTATTTAAAACTTGTTTGTTAAAAGACAACCCCTTCACAGGTTTTCTCTTAAACTGAGCGATGGCACTTGGGCTCACAGTGATTCCGAAATAGCAGAAGTATTTGCAGACGATCTGGAAAGTCGATTTACTCCGTTCGATTTTGGAACAAGTCAGGAAGTTTGAACCACAATTTTTCTGTTTGGACTCTCATTCGGTCCTCCTGTTGCTGTGCGACCAGTGAATGAAGAGGAAGTCCGTGATTATATAAAGCGATTGGCCCCCACGAAAGCTGCTGGCATGGATAAGAATGATGGATGATGTCACTCACTAACTCTGACATTGCGCAGCTCTGCCAACTCTTTAATGCGTCACTGAACCTTGGCCATTTTTCATCCCCTTGGAAGCGTGATTTAGTTACAATGGTCCCAAAAAGGGTAAAGATCCGTGCTCGCCTGAGTCCTACAGGCCAAGATTCCAAGATTTTTGAGCGGATTGTACTTAATAGGCTCCTTGATATTGACACGTTTAATGACGCTTTACCAAACCATCAATTTGGTTTCCGTAGTCGCCCCTCAGCTGTTGAACAGTTTCACAGAGTCGCGAACCACATTTTAGATGCTTTAGAAGGTCATAAATACTGCTGTGCCGTTTTTCTTGGGGAATAACCTGCTGGGGCACCGCTTGCGACACTTCGTTAAGAAGAGTCAAACTTGCATCACTAGGCCCTACGAAAGATGCTTGGGGTGAAGTGGTAAAATTATGTCGATAAAGGCGTTTTATTTCGTGACACAAGAGTACCAACCGTTACTAAAATAATACCATAATTCTCAAATTGTCTTTTAAAAACACGGCCATTGAATTTTTTCAAAAATTTGTTGCACCAATCACGGTATGTCACTTGACGATCATGCATTATCAGTTCACGCACGGCATCAATGATCTGTGGCACAACTACTTATTTTTGGACGACCTTCACGACCTTCGTCTTTAAACGAGTGTCGGCCACGATTGAATTCGTTAAACCAGTTTTCCACAGTGCTGTAGGATGGTGCTTCGCCGCCATACAAATATTTAAGTTCATCGATGCACTCTTGTCGTGATAAACCACGTCGAAAGTTGTCAAAAATGATTGCTGGAAAATGTTCACGAGTTATTTCCATTTTTCTGCCGGCATCCATAAGTTTTTCTTTCCATCAGCAATAGCTTGATGCACATGTTTAACTAAAATAAAACAAACTTTCGAAATAAAATCAAAGACTTACTTCTAAAGCAAAAGTTTAATGTTATAGTGCAGTGGCCTTGCGACTTAAAATTTCTGTGTAAACCACTAAGTCAACATAATTATGTAACTTCAAAATTTGAAAATCAAATATCTGACGAACATATTTTTGCCGCACCCAATCTATAAATAACCCAAAGACAACATAATGACGATCATTAATAATTCTCATATAATGATAGGATGATGATATTTTTAAGCATCATAGATTATTGCACATCGAGCATTTCTGCATAATTATTTCTAAATTCGTTTTTCAACTTATGCCACTCTGCTGGTAGATGAGCGGTATGTTATTAGGAATTCCAGCCGATGAGATTTGTGTGTCAACGTCACCGCGGATAATAAATAACTCGTCTTTAAAAGTGAAGCATACTTTCAGGAAAAATCGGAATGCAATTTTAAAATGCCTTTTCGGCGGTGAAAAACTTGTTAACGACAATTCCTTGTTTATCCATCAAAAAAAATCTTCGAAAATGCAACGAATACATTATACCCTATATTAGGGTAAAATTTTCAATCGAATGACATTATAAGGCACGAAGAAAAAAATGTGTGGATAGAATTAAAAATCGGTTGCAGCTTTTCTTTTCAGTTAATTAAAAGAACCGTTTTAAATACCTTTGAACATTTTCTAAGAAAATACAGAATACCCTTAGGCATTATCGACTGAGCTGAATGAATTGTTACAGAAATGCGTCCCCATCAGTTCATCTTCCAATTATATCAGCGGGTAAACTTATAAGTTCGTTCGTTTGTTTGTTTTACTTACAAAAACCTTGGTTGTAAGGCTCATAAAATTATTATTTTGTTAGAGTCCACACAAAAATAAAGTAGCACTTACACGGATTTCATTTGCTCAGGCTTTCGTTTAATATAAAAATATACATATAATGTGTAGATATGCCATAATATACATATTTAATGATTTAAAAATAACAAGAGAACAGATTGCTGACACAAATTTATTTTCGCTTGTTATTAGATGTAAACGATATCAAAAGACTTTTAACTAGATGCATGAGAGTCGACAAATTGAGTGGGAGCCGGCGACCGCATTTTCATACGTTTCGCTGGCTTGTTAAATAATTTTGAGATAGGATACAATGAGCGTCGCGACTGTTGCCGATGTTATGGAAGCTGGTTAACTTCTCTTTAGGTATAATACTTTGGCAGCCAAAAACTAAGAATGAGCTAGGCAAAAGGTCCTGACAAAGATGCAACGAACTAATAATTAATAAACAATCAACTCGGACGCTGACAAGGCAGTACGCTAATGGTTAATGCGAGAATAACTAATGATACGACTTAGAGATAAACTAGAAGGCTTAACGACTAAAGGAGCTTTGATTCACTTTCGCAATTCGGGCTTGGGCTGCCGCCCGTCCGGAGCTATAAATAGTTTTAACTAGCTTTATACATGTGTGTTTGGTTAGAAATAATTTACACTTTTTGGTTGCCCTTTAGCTGCGCTGCCAGCTTGGGTTACGTGCATATTTCGCTGCTGGCGGCGCAGGAATTACTCGACACATTGGCATTCAACGCTCCTGTTCCCGTAGACATGCTGGCCGGCAGACTGGATGAGGATGATGGGGATGCTGCTGCTGTGGCGGGTGGGGTGGTGGTTGAGTCTGGTTCTGCCTGCTGGGCATGGGCCTGAGCAGCCACATTGTTCGTCTTGCTGTTCTCCAGTTTGGCTCTATTCAGGGCCTCCTCGCGCTCCTTGGCATCGAAATACCAGACGGTGATGGCATAGCGGGTACGATGAGCGGGCTGCACTTCGTGGGGATTTCGGATGTCCGACCAGAAGAATATCAGACGGTCGAACTTGGGCTCAATGTCCGCCACTGTTGTTCCGGGCGTCGGTCGAATTCTGTCAATAGTTTGGGTTTAAGTTGGTTTTCAAAGCACAAGTAAGTTATGTAGTCTTACCGAAGTATGCCGCCACTTTCCCGCGCATCCCAGTTGATGTTCAGGTAGTAAATAGCCGTTATTACACGGCCATCCTTTTTGGGATTGTCCACATGCATGACATAATGTGTCCCCGATCCTGGATAGCAGGCGACCATGGCCTAAAGAATCATTTGATAAGTAAATCGTAATAGTATTAATTGGCGCATGCTTACCCTTGTGCGCTCCCTGATGTGATAGTTGCCCAAAATGCCATTGTCCTTCATGGTGTTGACTCGATACACCACCGAGTCGATCTGGAAATGATTGAAAGAATTGATAATAAGGCATCTTTCGGTAAAAGTTGTATTTCCCAGTTTCTTAGGGTATAGTTGAAGTGGTCTATTCAAAACAAAACAAAAGACTTTTTTTGAGACATTTTAATAAAATATTTAAAACCTTAGCACTAAAACAAATAAAAACATGGACAGACAGATGCAATCTCTAGCTCTTTGAAAGGGCTGACTTTTTCACTATTGCCTTAAAAGGGCACAAGACAATTTACTTCGACCATGAAAATATGATTAGATGTCGTAAGCAACTCACCTGGTTAGTCAGATACCAGACACTGCTGCAGCCCGGCTCGTTGCCACCGACCCACTTGATCTTATCACCTCGGATCTTGTCCCCGCGCGCCGCCAAAGATGGGGCATCGGGCATCTGGTTGGTCACCACCTGGCCATCGTGGAAGGCCCCTGCGTTGTACATGCTTCGCACCTCGTTGAGGATCTTCAGACCCGTCTCCATGCCCAGGAAGTCGTCCACCACGGACAACCCATACTGGTTCATGTCACTGATGATGTTCCGGCACAGATCCTCATAGCGGCGCTCGCTGCGGGTAAACAGAAGGGAAACAAAGAACTTTAATCAGAAATAGAATTTCAATTGCGATTCAAATAGTCAAGAGAAGGAGAGCGAGACATTTAGAGACCTTTCAAGGCCGTTAATCTGTAATTGATTTACAGATGCCTATGTTAGTGAGGTCACCTTGGGGAATCCCCTGCATTCTATAGATCTAGACAGCGCTTTTCCTCGCTATTTATAGAACAAAATTGTTATTGCACTTAAGCTTTTTTACCGGTGTTAGAACAACCAGAACTGCGTTGCATACAATTTTACGACTTTTTTATGATGCACCCACAAAACCAATATTTTATACAAGTCGGTGAGTCCCAGTCACGTAGGCCACCCTGAACTGAACGGATCAGAACAAAACTGGCCCACACACCATTTGGCCCAGACGACCGCATTCTGGATAAGCAAGGCAAAGCTGCACATTGCGAAAAATAAATAAATAAAACAGAGATGAAACATTTTCGCACAAGTTCACAGAAGCTATTAAGTCATAAAGTCAAATTTATTGTCGCAAAAAAAAAATGACTGAAACGTGCGACATGGTTGATCAACAATGAGTTTTCCGGAATGGGAAAGGTGGAGAACTACTAGCCATTCAAGGGGCCTTTGGGCGTATTTCTTCAAAAAGCGAATTGTGCTTTGCCAACATATTAATATCAAAATTCGAATTCACAGGTTGCCAAGAGATTTAGATACAAAAAAGATGACATTGAAGACCACAAACAGAAACCGTTAACCGGTTTTATTGTTTGGCATTCATAATCCACGATACGTGATAATTCACAGTTTAAAACTCGTGCACAAATTGGCTGAGGAGAAAATAGTTTAAATTCAGTATACGAGTTAAAAAAAACATTGTTTTTAGAAAAGCGTTACAATACTGTCAAAATAATTATTTAATTAATTATAATCTCTATTTCACCAGTACTAACACTTTCACTTTAAATCTGAAATCAATTTTTTTATGCCATCTGCTAATTGTGGAATTTATTTCTGCGTATATCCATTATCACTATTGTGTTATTTCAATTTTAAGATTTTGATAGAAACATTCGATATTATGAAGTTTGTGTTGTTACAAATTCCATTTAACTAATTCTGGCATTATTAAATTTATTGTCTCATAGCCCGTTTTCTCGCCCTAATGGTGAACTAAACAAAAGAGAAAAGCTATTTTAAGACGAGAGCACGTACCTAAGAATCTCAAATTTTCGCAAAATTACTATTATTCTCTGCATTTTTAAGCATTTTTCTCCTATTTGATAGGCTTGTAAAACGTCTATCTTTATCTCGATAATCTTGAACTTAAGGGAACCTTAGACCACATCAAGTTCGTATAACTCATTTACCGCTTGTCCAGTAGATCCCGGAAGTATTGCTCAGCATTGGCAGGATGAGCAGAGTGCTTGAAAAAGTTTTTGTAATCCGTCGTCGTGGATGTAATCATTTTGGCTTGATTAGTCAGCTTGCGTTGCGTTTTAGTATTATCACTTAGTCTCTGTAGTTTTTGGCACTTCAGGATCCTTTATAAATGTCCAGGACTAGTAACTGGCTGAGTTTTTCAGGAGAAAATGGGTTCTCAAACGATTTTTTTTGGCACTTGAAAAGGTTGAAATTTATTTTTATATCCAGAATTAGTTACTGGGTTTGTTTTTGGGAGATGGAGGGTTCTGGAGTTACTTCTCCAGAAATGCACGCACAAGTGAAGAAAGTTTGAAATTGTCTGCGAGTTTTATGCGGACGCGCACCCCGATCGTTAGAGGGAGAGAGCGAGCGAGTTAGAGAGAGACACCGGTCGTTGTTTTATATCGAATATCTGTTGCAATCGTGATGGTGGGCATGTATGAATAATTGCAGATTGCATTTGTTGTGGCCAGCTGCCTATATATTTGTTCTTTTGGTTTTTTTTATTTCCCCACAAATGTTTGTTTTGATTTGCCTTTGTTTATGCACCGTTAGTCACGTTTGTTTATCGTTTGGCTTCGGTTAAATAAATTAGGTAAAATGTGGAGCAGCTGACACGAACCGCACTCGCTGCCGTTCGTTTTCCGAATGCGGGAGCATCGCCAGTCGCTCTCGCTCGGTACCGTTGCCACACATTTCTGAGAGAGCGCCAGGGAGATTTGAGAGCGGCTGAAGACACTTTAGCTAGTTTACAGCTAGATCTACCTTTTGGTTTTCATTTAACTTGTATTTTTTAGATTACCAGCAAGTTCTTTACAAAGAATTTTTATGTTACCAATCTTAAGAACATCGTTGGCTTAACAGAATGCCCTTTTAAGTAGGCCACATATTGTGAAGGGACGTTACCTCCTGATAATTGGATATATGTGAGATAATTGAAATGAATAAGTGTAACGTATCAAAATATTTATTTTTTATAAGTTTTCCCATTTATGGTTAATGTGATGGGCAAGCACAAACAAATAACTCAAGACAAAGTAAATACATAATAGGTTTGAACTGATTTTACAGACGTTTCTTTAGCTATGCCAACCAAAATGGATTCATGTTATTCTAGCTATTTCCTCTCTCTCCCAAAACGCGCCACCACTATCTTATGGCGGCCGTGATACTACGTGAGTATGAGAAAATTGGGGGCCTGGGAAGCGGCTAAAGAAGAAGCAGCCGCTTAAGGCGATAAGCAGCACCTTGGTAAGTGTGAGCAAATAGTGGAAAATACGGCAGATGTAACGTAAAAAGGCAGCTGCAGATAAGACAGCCCGAGCTGGACGTGCAAAATCAGGGGACCTGGTCAAATTCGCAAAGTTCCCGGGAAGTGGCCGGAAGGGACTCGTTCCGCTTGCCCTTCAAATAGGTCCAAAACCACTCTGCAAACACAAAACAAATGCCAGCGGAAAACGGGGAAAAGCAAAGCCAAACGAGAAGGCAGAAAAGACAGGCGCAACAATCGTCACGTAGCCCAGCACTCACACCGAGACACCGTTGGCACACGCACATGCGAGCGTACCCACACAAGCGACGAAAAAGCCACACGCACAGGCCTTAATGCGATAGCCAAGTGAGTCGGAAAGAGAGGGTCCCAGCCAAGGGAGTGCGAGGGGGTCGGAAATAGATATTTTAATTTGTTTAATACAAATATCTGCTAAAAATGCTTTGAAAGTAAACCCGAAGATGAGCTACAGAACGGCGGAAACACGGAAGCTATGCGAATGTATGCGACCACAGAACTGGGTCAACGGCCCAGTTCAAAGATGGAGCCACGCCGAGCACACTTAGAGAAATAACAGCGTAAGTCATTGAAATGTACGTATGTACATACATACAAAGGGGTGTCCCAGAGATGTTTGCATTTTTCTCTGCCCCAGAAACGCCTTTAACTTTTTGCGACTAATTTAAAACCAACAAAACAGTTGAGAGTCAAAATAAATTGATTTTTAAGTCAGGGGCACATTATAATTTTACAACTACCCTAATGGGCCTTTAGAAGTATTTCAAACCATTTCCCCCATCGTTTAAAAGATTTCTTACATAATTTTATCGATTTTAAGGTTCTAACTATTTTTGAATATTGGGGATAAATCATTACAGGTTGAGTTAATACATATTTATTACAGTTATTTAAAACAAGTACTACTGTTGACCTATTATGTACTATTACTAATTTCAAATCATTTCAAAATTACCTTCTGAACTCTTTTCATATTTATTTAGTAATGCGCTTAGACCAGAAATGTTAACAGTTGTCACTTTCACTCTCTGTGCGAACCGTCCCCAATATCTACTAATGAATGCTTTGATTTCTTTCAGTGAAAACATGTTTCTGGGTACATTGTAATGATCGATTGGAGCCCTTAGGCTGTGATGAATTACGTGCGACAACGGCAACTGCGGCACGTGTACCACACGCAGCTCTCGGCTCTTCAGTGGGTGGAGAACTGGCGGGGTAAAGGGGCGCGGCAGACGCACACGCACTGAGGGGCGGACGACCTTGATGACGTGCGTCTGCCTACGTAGCTCGCTTTGGCTCTTTTATGTTCGAGAAACCGCTAGATACTGCCACAGGTTCATGAATAAAAGTAAGTCAATGAATGTGGTTTGGATGGAATAATTCAGAAAATTTGAAGTTAATACACAACATTTCTTACTTTGAACGAATTGAATTAAATGTTAGATGTAACTTATAATAATATGACGTCTATAATTTGTCCCATATATTTAGTTTAACTTATTTTTCGAAAGATGGAAGGGAAAACACCTACAGCTGTGCGTTAAACTATTTTCTGAAGCTTAATATTTAAAAATTACACAGGCAATCTCGATTCTAGAAATATGTACGTGACCTAGCAATCTTTTTTCATCTTCAGCTATGTTAATAAATGCGAAGGCAACACTTTATAAGAATCGACCGGGAAAATGGCTATTGACCTTTCTTATCAAATTTGTGACATTAACAGTCGGCGGCGGTTGAATGCGGTTTTCGGCGATCGTTGTTTATCGAGTCTTGCGCAACCATATTGTTTATTTTCCCGGAGAGTTGCTTGACAGGCTCACCGGCAAATTTAGCACATTTATAAACAATGTCGGAATTTGGCAAACCCCTGGAAATGAGATCACGTTGGGCTGACTTCTAAGTGTTTGATAAAGAACAACACATCTCGCCACAGATTGATATCTCAGAGCCAAGGCAAATGGTAATTCTGATAGCACAATTTAAACGATACGCTTGCGTATTCTCGGCACGTAGGCAAAGCGGTACGGACCACCCTGCTGAACGGACCACCCAATCCGCTCGATAAGAAGCTCAAAAAAGAGACGGAGTATACTGCACTCGTTGACAAAATTGTTTAACAATAGTAAGCCTAACAGAAAGAAAATCCGTTAAGTATTTACACTTGGTATATGAAAAATAAATGAATGGCAAAAGAAATAGAACTAGAGTTACTTGTAGTATTCCAAACTTAAAACAAAGATTCTCTCTCTGCAAGTAGATCTAACAAACTATAAGGGAAAGGAAATGCATATTGACTATTGGGCATAATCGAATTATTGAAAAGTGCTTTTATTGATGACTCAGCCCATTTCACTGGAAGTTATGCCCAACGATTGCGAAAGAATTTCTATATTTGTTCCAACGTGTGCGGTGCATGTTTGTTGTATCTGTTAATGCCGGGGTGTAAAGCAAAAATAAATAAGTAAGCGAGTATCAAAGATTCGGACGCAACAAACTGCGCACCAGAATAATTGCAAAGTCAGCACCTCTGTCCGGAAAACTGCGACTGCGAGTGCGACTGCAGGTGCTATCAGATCGCCTACGGTCGCGGTCGCCATATGCATTATACCGCCGGGCACGTAATGCCAAAGGTAAATACTCGACTCGAGAGGTGTCATCTCGCGACAGAATGCGAACAATACGGAGACAATCAAACGCGCATTTGTTTCCCGCAATTATGAAGTCACATCTGACAAAGGGACATGTTCTATAAGTAGGCAAAAATCAGACCCAAAAGAACTCTATTTTAAATCAGCAAATTCATTTAACTTAACAAACTCGCAATTATAGGACATTTGGCCTAAGTGAGGTACATACAATATAAAAGGTTAACTGTAGCGTACTACGTTTCACTTCATATCGTTAGAACTATTTAAGCTTTTTCCGCGTCCCGTTTGGCGTGTAATGACACGTGTATCCCGTGGAACCCATTAAACTAAAGTTTAAAAATTGCATTGATATAGAAAAGTTATAATAAAGACTTAGATATCTCCATCGTGAGAACCACAGAAATCGACTGGCGCTTTCTCAGGTAGTTTTTATTTTAACACAAGTAAGAACTCCACTTATTTTCAACTAAAATCGATATCTGTGGCACCACCGTAAGAATCAAAGACAAACAAGGAATAACGCTATAGTCGACTACCTCGACTATCCGATACCCGTTACTCAGCTAAAGGGACCAAAGGGAAATTGAGATATGCAAGCAGCAAAGCGAGATTAAAATGCGCCACCTACCGGCGGTAGACAGATTTAAGCGTTATGGGCGTTAGAGTGGCCGTGTCAAATTTTTTGGATCACTCGATAGGTATTGACGAGAACAATACATTTCAGTTAAAATTTTTATTCTAGAATCAAAACTGTAGGACCACAGTTTTTGGCGTTAGATTGGGCATGGCACTCTGCTGAAACAAACTTGCGCTGCGTAAGAAACTCAGGAATCTGCACGCCAAATCTCAATAGCCTAGCTCTTATAGTTTCCGAGATCTCAGCGTTCATCCGGACAGACGGACATGGCTAGATCGACTCGGCTAGTGATCCTGATCAAGAATATATATACTTTATGGGGTCGGAAACGCTTCCTTCTGCCTGTTACATACTTTCCGACGAATCTAGTGTACCCTTTAACTCTACGAGTAACGGGTATAAAAATGTACTTAAAAGAAAACTATTTTCGGACGGACAGACGGACATGGCTAGATCGACTCGTCCAGTGATGCTGATCAAAAATATATATACTTTATGGGGTCGGAAACGTCTCATTCACTGCGTTGCAAACTTCTGACTGAAATCATAATACCCTCTGCAAGGGTATTAAAAAAAGGGTTTAGACCATATTTTGCATTACTAAGATTTCTATACCCATTAGACCTGCAATAAATGATAGATCCTTGGGAGATTATAAAATTGAACTCGGATTTTTTTTCCTTTCGACACTTATGTCTACACACAATGCGCGCACACACACACAGTGAGCGCAAAGAAATCAGAACAACTCGTTTAGTTGCTAAAAAGTTATATGATCAAAACAACCATAAACTTTAACACTTTATAGATGATATGTATTTAGTTTTCTTTCGTGCCGTTTCTCAGGACTGGGCACGTACCCGCTTATCGGTAATTGGCTTGATACATATGTATATGCAAGTGAAGATCATTGAGGGGCGGGACGGGGCCTACGTCGATGGGAATGCACATGTGGGGCCTATCTTGGTCTATTCATTTCGCTTCACGAACTTGCAAACGCAATTTCAAGTGCATGGCCGTACTAATCGCAGTGCTTGGTTCAGTCACATTTAATAACTATAGTTATCAGGTGAGATCACTGCTGACCAAAACAAGATAAACAGCAACCAAAACGTAAAAGAACGTTTGGAAAGTAATATGCTATACGGAACGATTTAATGCACGCTTTACTTCTTTCAAATGTCAAACCTATTAAAAACTTAATAAACAGGCCCAAACTTTTTGATATCAAAAGTACCAAGTAACCAGAAAACAAACGGTAGATAACTTGTTTATTAAATCATAAACATAGAAGATGCATCATTTCCTAAAACGTCTTAAAACAGCCGCTGCCGCACGCACGGTATTTGATCATGGAAAGGAGTTTTAATTTCCATATCAAGTTAGAACGGAGGCATAAGTCATAAGGTAACAGTCTTGGAAATTTGTATACCTCATAAACACACGATTTCGACTAAATACCAGACCATACAAACACAAGTATCGTCCCTTTGCAAAGAGTGAAATTCTACTAAAGAACAAGATTCTTTATAAAGGACATACTATCAACCGACCACGAAATCTGTGGAGGTCAGGCGTGATTATGGAGTACAATCGCCAGCCTTGTCCCATCAGGATTGTAGAGGACTGCGGGTGCGCCTTTATGATGGGCACAGTAGGAGGATCGTTGTTCGAGTATCTGAAGGGTTTCCGTAACGCTCCGACCGGTTTGCGGCGTGGCCTATACGGCGGCTTTGAATCGGTAAAGTTGCGGACTCCATCCATCGCCGGCAGCTTTGCCATTTGGGGCGCCACCTTTAGCACGGTGGACTGCGTCATGATCTCGTATCGGCAGAGGGAGGATTCCTGGAACTCGATTGTCAGTGGAGCGGCCACTGGCGGAATTTTGGCAGCACGCAATGGCATTCGGGCCATGGCCAACAGCGCCTTTGTGGGATGCCTCGTCTTGGCAATGCTCGAAGGAGCCGGAGCAGCAGTGGCCACGATTTATGCAGCCGACGGAGACGCCAGTACCGCCATAGCCACTGATGTCCAGCTGCCGCAGAGACCCCAGTGGGAATCATCCGTTGAGGACTTGGAAAATCCGGGTTCCTCCCATAGTCAGAATTTGACCGTGGCGGAATTCGAGCAGGTGTTGGATAAATGTAGAACCTATAGGGCGCGCAACATGACCCTGCAGGACAAGCCTTCGGATGCGGTGGAGGGCAAGGAAGTGAAACGAATCGATAAGCCTTTGCACTCTCTACTCGATCTGGTCAAGCTGGCCGAGATTATCTGATACAGTTCGCAATAGCTTTCTGTTTTGAGTCAACTTTTCGTTTTTGTGGTGCCTCTTCCAAATTATGTGTTAACCAACCAATATTCTCCGTTGATCTGATTTATTTTATATTCTTCAGTAATGAACAGGATGCAATTCTCTTCATAACGATAGTAAACCATTTTTTTTGGTATAAATGAAGATCATCCGAGGGTCCTATTTTTTCGTGGTTATGGCCTATGCTGGAATGACACATGAATTTTAAAATGCATATGTTTCACACCTAATAATACTAAAATAGTAAGCAATTGAAAGTTAATTTTCATTTTACCATTTAGTGTTACAAGTCAAATTTAAGGTCTAGGATGATTAACGGAATTGAGCTATGAAAGTCGTATAAGAGACTGAAATTATTTATAAAAGGCAGAAACGCCGTTTTTTTCACCGTATAAAGTTTTCCCTTTGGGCCTAAGACCCACCTTTTATCAACAAGTAGGCCTTTAATGTAAACATACAAATAATTTGTCTATACAGGACATACATTTTCGTAGTCATATAGATACGCATCTTTCCTTTAACCCCAGGACTCACCTTCCTGATCCCATGAAGCTGGCATCCGCTAATCCGATTTGATAGCTGGAGCTCTTTTCGCCATGATGATGATGGTGATTATGGTGGTGTTGGTGCGGCTGCTGTCTTTGACCCACTTCCGTTTCCGCTGTGGCAGCCTTTTCTTGGCTTCCCGGCTGGCCAAGGAGATTCAGCAGGTTGTCCACCTCGGAGGGCCAGCTCTGCGCCTGGTGGGCAGGCGTCATCATCTGGGCGGTGGAGCAGTTGGCGCCGGCGCCATTGCTCTCCAGATTGGCGGATGCCACCGCCTGTTGTAGTTGCTGGATCTGCTGTCGCTGCTGCTGCTGCTGCTTGTTGTTATTACTGCTGCTGTTGACCTTTTGGCGGGTCAGGAGGCGACACGCGGTGCGGTGGTCGGGCCAATCGAGATGCTGGTGGGCGGGGGAGCAGTAGTAGACGGCCTTGCACTTGGCGCATCGCAGCAAGTTCTGCTGAGTGCCGCAAGTGGAACAGCGCGGCGGGTCCATGGCCGATTTGGATCCGGAATGGGAATTGGAATCGCTAGCTGACTCCCTGACCTTTCCGCGACCCCTGCTCATTGCATTTCGTGGGAGAGAGCCGAAGGCGACGACCGACTATAACCTTGACTGCTCTCTCTGCTCTTCTTAGCCCCACCTTCGCCCCCTCACTAACACACTCGCACTCGCAGATTACGGCTATCAATTATCAATGCGAATTACGGCACTCGGCTCGTTTTAGCCAACATTTCACTGTTAGTTCGCTTGCGCCTATTTTAATCACGTAGGCCACCGAATTGGCCAAATAAACAAAAAAAACGCACATACAACGCACACACACAAGCACACGGGCAGCTATATGTGCGTTGTTGTTGGTTTTGTTGGCGACTATTCCTCCTCGGGACTGTATTTGGTTGCGTTTTTCACTCTGCACTATTTTCGCCTCGCAGCCTAACGCCTGGATATCGATTTACAACTCGAAATCCTTGAAGTTTAATGAAAAATGCAAATGGTTAAGACAACACACAAACTTTTTTATTCGCTAGCGATGTGTGTCAACCGATACCGATAGCTTCAGTCATAGCACCGTTGCACAGCACTGAAAACCGGCTAAAAATCGGTATCGATAACTAAGCTTGAAATCCTTATAGTCTGTTCAGACAGATGGTGTCTCTGCAACAGCGACCTAATTCCGCATTGGCGACTTTGTCTTCTTCTTAGTTCGTGATTTCTGTCATTTCGGCATTTCTATGGTTGTAAATTGATCGGTACTAACTCAAAAACGGAAATAATTTTTAAAAATCGTTAGTTGGTTGGTTTGATATAAACAATTGAACATTTTAGGATAATTTGAATATGAATTAATATATTAATTATTATAAATTACATAATTAAGAAGGAGCACGGTATTTGTTCTGCTCTTTTTGCAACAGGGTGCAACAATTTTGTCGCTGTTGTAATTTTAAGCGGCTGTGTGCAGGGGGTATTAGCCGTGGGACTTTTGTACTGACACGACACGAAAATCGTAGCTATTTTTCTTCCGCTTGTTAGGGTTAATGTCCTCCTTAGTAAGGAGTCCTTGCACCTCAGTAGGAATTTTTGAAATGGAATTTATCATACTTCAACAAAAAACTTGTAATCTTTTGCCATGGATGATGAGTATTTAGAAATATTTTGAGCGTAGTAATGTTTATAGCAACTTATATACTACTGTCTTAATTTTAGTGCGATATTACTGCAACTTGCCATTAATAATCAAACTATCGCGACGTTGTTGAAAAAAGAAGCAAACGCATACGACGACTTTAGCTTACAGCCAAAAAGCCCAAAGGTGGATGATGGTAGGTCCTGGCAGTTGGACCCCTAGTTTACAAAAAAGAATACTACAATGTTTTAAATGTATAAGTTTTTTAACATTTTTTTGGTATCTCCGGGTTTTACATAAATCTCGAATTGAGATTTACCAATTTAGGTGATATATGTTTTAGTTTAAAACTATAATGTCACTCTTTAATTTTGGAAAGTAAATGAATAGTGAGCTACAACTCGGCAAACTTTGCCGTGCAAATTTTGAAATATTTTTTATTTTTTTTAAATATATTTACCAACTTTTTCTTTATTTCGTAAATAAAAAAGTTTCAAAAAAACGTCTTTGGGGTTTCCTTTCCGGTAAAGCTCCCCTAGTCGGTTTTTTTGGATTTTACATCCTGAATTTGTGTAACATTTAAGTTTAATTGTATTATGGATTTGACTTAACAACTTCGTCTTGTAAATTAGGGCAGACAGCACAGACATCTTGCTAAGGAAGGTCGTCCCTTTGCCACACACTGGACTAAGCTTTACGATTAAAGAAATACTTTCGTTAGTCATAATTTAACAGTTCAATAACAATTCGTATGGGATCATTTCTACTGGTATACGTAATTTACAGCGAAACTTTGGGGCCATTGCGCATCCGTCTAAACGTCAAAATAAAATTTTCCCGAAAATTATTCAAATTCAATAGAGTGCAAGAGGGATGGAAATAAATCGACCGTTTGTATTTCAGTTAAAATTTGGACGGTTTGTGGGCGTGGCATGTTTGCTTAACAAACTTGCGCTGCATTCGAAGCTTAGGAATCTAAATCTGTAATGAGTTCTAAAAACTCTTACCGCTACCGCCAAGTTAAATGTGTAAATAGTGTCAATGCGCCGTCATCCTGCCCTGGTGTTAAGTATACAGGAAGTTTTGAAGACGCCAGCGAATGAAGGATTCAAGCCAACTCCCTTAAAGCAACATATCCACTGGCTACTGCTTCTGGCACCACGGGCACTCCGAATTGCAACTGCCGAACCAATCTGAGCGATCCAATCTATATCGAACATAAAACTTTACTTACTTTATTACTTTCTCAGAAGACTATCCACCTCGGATACTCATTACGAATGGTCTCCTTGTGAGTGTTTAGCATGAAACGGATAGTATCTTATAAACCCTTCGACTAGTAGGAAACTCTCTCTCTGCCATAATCGAGGAATAAGAGGTCACATTCGTTCTACAATCTCAACTGTCAGTTGTCGGCACTTTGCTAATGCCAACTTGCAAAGCCTACGATATTATTATGGAGATGAACGATGCACCTCGAAAGTGGGAAAAAAATTGGGAAAGATCATCCTCCAATTTTGCTATGGAGCTTCGGAATTGCGTCAATTGGCACTATCTTGGCCGACTTCTAAAGCGTTTTTTCTTGTTTTATCAATCAAAAGCCTTTTCAAAATACATGGGTTCTGAAAATTAATTGTCAACAAAAACAGCAGAAAGCATTGTGCAAGTTTTTACCATTTGCACAACAGATTATAATTTCATTTTTAAATTTTAATTTTCGATTATTTAGCTATTTATAGCTATTTATCTCCAGTGATCGTTTCGTTGCCAATCGATAGCCGGTCCTTAGCAGTGTCATCTCTATTATCAGACCACAACAGATGCTGAGCTGAGCCCTTGGAAAAGCAACGAAATCCGCGTGATAACTCAATCCCACTGATAAGCGCTATGGCGACCAGTGAACGTGTGGCCAAAGTGGTGCTTGTGGACATCGAGGGCACCACCACCTCCATTAGCTTCGTGCACGATGTCCTGTTTCTCTACGCCAGGGAGAATGTAGAGAAGTACTTAAGGGAATCCTGGGAAGGAGATGATACCAAGCAGATTGTCCAGGATCTGCAGCAAGTGCCCCAGTTTTCGGAATACAAGGCCTCATTGAGTGCTCCACCTGCGGAAGTAAACGTAGAATTCATTAGCGGCTTTGTGCGCTATCTTATCGACAAAGATCTGAAGGTTACGCCGTTAAAAACGCTCCAGGGATTAATTTGGGCTGAGGGTTATGCCAGTGGAGAGCTCAAGGGGCAGTAAGTATTATAATCACTTATATGTTTAGCCTCCTTTGAAGTTCTATAAAGGTTATCAATGAATAGTTTACCGTAATAGTACATGTGTTAACATATCAGAAGTTAGTTTTGTTTCTTTTAAGCCTCAAAATCTGTTACTTATCTGATTAGGGAAAATGTAGTTATTTTTTCATAGCTCTAATCGACCTTCAAGGAACTTGTGTGTTATATACATTCTTACTAATCAATTATATTGGTTCTATGTTTAGTGTGTATGAAGATGTCCCCGAAGCTTTTCAGACATGGTGTTCTGCTGGCCTCAAGATTGCTGTATACTCCAGCGGCAGCGTGGCTGCCCAGAAGCTGATCTTCGGGCATAGTATAGCCGGGAACCTGCAGCCCCACCTTAGTGCTCATTTTGACACCCATGTGGGCCACAAGCAGAAACAGCAATCTTACGATAATATAGCCAAGTTATTAAAAGAGGAACCGCAAGAGATACTGTTTCTCACCGATATTCCTGGCGGTGAGAGATTTGTTCATATCAATGTCTTCCAATTGCTAAATGTTACCATATTTTAGAAGCGGATGCAGCTCGGTCTGCTGGATTGCAAGCCATTATCCTTCAGCGTCCTGGAAACGCCGCCTTAACAGATGATCAAAAACTCAGCAACGAGGTGATTCCGGACTTCAAACCACTTCACACCTTGAAGCTGCCGACAAATAAACCACAGGCTTAGCTCAATCCAAAAAAGTTTACATATATTGTGACTAGTGCTTGGAAATTAGGTGATTCTCTATAGGAAAGCTCGGTCCACGCTGCACAGGTCGTCACCGCTGTCGTGGCTGGGAGTCTCCGAGACAGGTCCCTGTGTCCTTCTCCCGGAACGCTTGCTCCTTTGGGACTGTCTAGAACAGGACTTCTCAGACCCATAGATCTTGCGCAGCTGCTGAAGCTTTGTATCCGAACCTTGCACTGGACACTCTGATTTTTTCTTCCTTCGCTGCCGGCTGCCCTCGCAGGAGTGACGCATTTCCTCGCTACGGCAGGTGTGGGTTAACTTGCCCACCTCCGGGCCCCAAAAGGTGGGTCCTTCGAGAAGAAGTGGAGCGGATTTGACCCTCTGCCGCATCATCTCCATATGTAGTTCGTACTGACGCTCTTGAAAAGCCTGTTCTGCCTTCCGGGTAGCCAGCCTGATGGATAACAAGGCCTTGTGGGATTCGCTGAAGGGGAAAAATCAAAGATCGCGTTTTAGGAAAGTAATATTTTAAAAATCGTTGGGAAATTTTCATATTTATAACTGATTGTTTGGGAGTTGTACTTACTTTAAGGACAGCGACTTCCAAGCAGGCGTCTTTCGGACCTCCCAATCAAATTGCGGCCGAGGATCATGAAAAGTGCAGTTGTTCTTTAGCTCCTTAACTTTTTTCCTAGAAACTTCAGCCCTTAAAGTAGCGGCTAGATTTGGACGCGAAACCGGGTGCAATGGCGACACACTTGGCGTTCGCCTCTGGACCGGTTCCTCTGGCAACTCAAAGATGCTCAGCGGTGGCAGTGGTTTCTCCTCTTTCGGAATAGACAATGGCTTAGATTTCCTTCCCCTTCCGCGCCTGGCTCGCCCCCTTCCTGTAGTGGAGGCACTACTACTTCGCTTGGAGGAGGTGGTTGGCGATTGTATCTGTATCTTGGGAACTTCTTCATCCTTATCCTTGCTGCGTGGGAAATAGTTGCTTAGCGAGGGTTGAGCGAGCTTGGAAGGTTTCGGATTGGAAACTGAGGAACTTCCTTGAAGATCATTGACACTGAAACACCTTCGAAGCATTTCCCTTCGGCACTTGGCCCGTTCAGCAGTGTGCTGGCCAGGATTAGAAGTCGGCTGGCAGCGGGCTTGGGTCTGGCTTTTGTCGTGCGTCTGCGTTTGAGTCCCATTGCTGCTGGTGGACTTTGGCCTGCGAAACTCTGCCTCGAAACTTTTAAGGGACCTCTTGAAGTCAGCCACCTCTACGGCAAAGTCCTCTTTGAAGCTCTTCAGACGACTCAAATCCCTGAGGCACTTGTCATACTCCTCGCTAAGGCAATTGGAATTAGGAGTATGGATCACGGCCTGTGTGCTGCACCTATCTTGATGCTCAGGGATCACTAGGATTTGTGGCGGAGGCACAGGATCCAGCACCAGGGGACGCTTTTTAATCTTCTTTCCCTTGGA